TAACAGGAAAAATTCTTGCAATGCATTTAAGTCCACATGCAGAGCTGACTTAGCAGCCATTGATGCATGCTGTGCATTTTTTAAGGAAAATGAGGTAGTAAGATTTTAGGAGCCAATTTTTTTATAGCAGATGAAAAAGAATTATGTGGCAAAAAATTAATTTCTTGAAGAAAAAAAAAAAGGAAGGGAATGTTTTTCTCTGTCTTAAGCAATGGAAAGGCAGATAGATGCAATTACTTCTCCAGGCCTCCTTGTTGAAACAACTATCTGCTACGTGTGCATTTGTAACTGCAGGCTGCGCGCCCATGGTGCTGCAGGTGTTATTTATGCAGTGTATGTAGCATGATGCTGCAGTAGGTACAATTTAGATATTGTAGTCTAATGCACAAATAGGCTTTCAAAGACAACATTTCTTCCATGTCGCTAAAGATTGGGTACGAACATCTACTTCTGCTTTGCAAATTTTGCACAACAGATATTTTTATAGGTATTTATGAATTTAAGTTACTTTTCAATAGTTTTACTATCAAAGTTATGACAGATTACAGAGCTCCTCGGCAAGCTGCAAAGAGGCTCCAACGGACATACTGGTGGTATTTAAAGGAAAACAGGTAACTCCCTTCATGAAACTCCCTTTCTTTTTTTGGTCAAGGATTGAAATAAGAGTGAAGAACACTTCGCGTCCACAATGGCTACAGTACTTGCATACAGTGTTTGAAAAGAGTGTTTGGAGCAGACGAGGAGAAGGCTGTACGATTTTTATCTAGTTTGTGCATTTGGGATGTGCGAAATGTGATGTGACATATCAGAAGTGCACAGTGGGGTTGAAAAATGAAAACTGGGCATTTCTCTGCTGCTTCATAAAGCTCAATAGCACAGATTTCCTTGGAATATCTGCAAAACAGATAAGCAGGATGGGTCACGATGGCTTTATGTCCCAAAATATATTCCTTACAGTAGGAATTACAGACTAACAATTAAAAAATGTTTTCATCCTCATTTTCCTGTTGCCAAAGTTTTAATTGGCCACTATGTGGAAGCCTCCTGCTTTACTCTGACTAGCTGCAGTAAGTCAAAATGCACACTCTAATCTTACTGGAAATCAAATTCTTTTAAATTATGGGGACAAAAGCAGTCCCAAACAAGATTTGGCTGTCACTGCTCAAAATGCTGAATGTACAAATGATACAAAAACGTCTTTGTTTTGAGAAGGTTAAAATCTGAACAGCACTGACATATGGTTTAAAGCATTTAAAAGAAAAAAAAAAAAAAAGCAACTGTTATCTCCATTATACAGATGGGGAATTGAGGCATGGAAAATAAAAACGTGCCCAAGCTCAAATAAGAAATCTCTTCAGATATAATCTTTCTCTCTAACATACCTCAGTATAAATTTGTAGTCACCTAATAAAGAAACGTGGTAGTCTTCCACATAATATACTTCATCATAGGAATCTTTTCCTTATCATTATTTCTAAAGTAAGCTCAAACTAACACCAGTCTGCTCTGAACACAGCTTAGCTAGCCAGCTAAAAGCATTATGTGTGTCAACAGGATAAAACATACCAGCGCTTATTCTTTGAAATGCTTTATTTCCAACTAGGGACTTTATAAAGGCTCCCTTTAGAAGCTAGGATTTCTCTTCTCTTTTTCCCAACTTCCAGTATATTGTCCCTTTTTCCTTTGGATGACATGCCTATGAAGGCCACTGTAAAAGTGTGCACACACCAATTAAAGAAAGCAGAGTCCATCATAAAGCTGTCTGGACTATTTTGAAAAGGATACAAAGTTAAATTAAATATTGCAGTCACAGAAGTAGTCACCTCAAAGGAAAGCTGTGCCATTGATCTGGTATCAAACGCGGTTTCTAGTGGGTGAGCATGATGGACATGGCTCCCTTAATTACAGCGGATTAAAGCAGGAAGAGCTCTATTGATGTCTGGACTTGCAGCAGGAACAACTTTGTGAGGAGATGAGGAGAATCAGGTCCTTCCACTGCAGGAAGATGGTGTCGCGCTTTAGTGAAGACTTGATGGAGTGAAAATTCCAGTGTTCATACATGATAAATCACATGCCTCAAGCGGAGCATACAGCTTGCAGTCAGCACTTTGCTGTGAGCAGTGCAAGCACCAGGATCATGGTGCGAAACATCTGCTCACAGTCTTCCATGCTTACTAATGATCTCAGCATTTGTTGTCTTCTGATGAATATGAAATGCCAAATGTCTATTTTAGAGGCAGTTAGAGGGTCAGGAGAGGTGAATCATGTTGGCATTATCTAAGGTGAGAGAGCAGGAGGTTGCTTCCAAGCACCATGAAGAAAACACTTTCTTCCAGCCCCAGACAGCAAGTCCCTGTTACCGCTCATATAAATAAACTGAGAGCCAGATTTGGTTCAACAGTTTCTCTAGCCTCCATCCCAGCCAGATTCATTGTCTCCTGTCTCAGCAATGCCAGTTGCTCTAGGTACACACCCTGGAGGTTACACCCTTCTTGCACAGAAGCAGTTCTCACTAATCCTTATTCAACCAGAAAAATAACTGGGTGTGTGAGCATTAATGACACAGCCTCCATGAATTATTTGCCTGTTGTGATAGGCTCTACAATTAAAATGAAGAAGCTGGTTCTACTGCTCATTCCCTTACATTCCTGTCTCAGGTAAAGAGAAGGAAAGAAATACTGGTTTTAAATTATCTTAGTGTTTTGCTCACATTGATTTTTTTTTTTGCTATGAACTCAAATTCATTCTTTAAAAGGTGAGCTTTTCCCAGAGTAAGTGCCTGCAAATTTATTTTCAACAAAGTCCATTTTAATGATTCCCCAAGACAGTAATGTCTAGATGTTACCCTTACACTGTGATCCCAACAGTCCTATCTGCCCCTGACACCCATGCGCTGTGAAGATACCTCTGAAAAAACAGGCTGCACATTACTCAGCCATGCTAAGGGACCAAGACTAACATATTGATTTAAAAGCATTCTGAAGATGAAAAAGTATTCATAACTATTTCTTAGAGCACATAACTTGCATCATGGTGAAATAAGTACTGAATGTCTAATTTGTTTTAATATTAATATGCACATAACAAAACATTACTTTGCATGAGTCCTGCCTTATCACTCATAGCATTTGTTTCTGAGAGCTAGAATTCAATTATTTTAAAATGAAAACTAAAAAAAAAAAAATATATGGTAACTAATACTGGACATATTCACAATTTCATTTGTTCTAAATTCTCTCCGTGACCCAAACGTGCAAAGTGCCATGTACTTGGCAAGTACACAAGTACAAGTACACAAGTACACAAGTACACAAGTACAAGTGCAATCTCCCCAAGTACTTCAGCAGCAGTTAAAGGCACTCAGAACCTCCCTGACAGCACCTAGCATATTGCAGAATAAGGCACTTGACACCAAAAAAAAAGCATTTTGATTGTCAGTGAAGTACAGTCATCTCTCAACTAGAACATGTCAGTCGTTTCACAGAGCGTCCCAAGTCTGTTTAACAGTTTGAGACAGAAAAGACAGACATACAATCCATATACCTCCAGAAGGATCTTAAGTCAGCAGGATACAAGACCCAAATGTGGGCAAAATATCACCTTACCATATTCCCCTGACACGGAAGGTAAATCACATCTCCTATTGAAGAAAGTCTCTTTAACTGCATAATCCAACGAAAATGTCATGGGTTTATACCGTATATTACCAGCTCAAAGGAAACTTCTTATAAACCAGAATGCTAGCTTTTGGGCCTTCCACCCCAACTTCAGCAGCCTACTGAGACCTCCAATGGAAAAGCAAAGAGGGTTTTGACATTACAAAAAGTACATCTCCAAGTGTTGTGAGTGCTATAGAAAAGTTCAGAAAAAAAAAAGCTCACTATTCAACTAGGAAAAATGTCATCATGGCATCAACAGCTCCTTCTTGTTAGCTGGGCCAGAATTAGAGTGGCTTTCAAGCTGGGAGAGACCCCAATGAGTTGCCTGGTCATTCAGGCCAGGCTGCTCATGGCTTTACCTAGTTGGGGTTAAAAACCTCCAAGGACAGAGACTGCACACAGGTTGCCTCTCTGGGCTACCCGTGCGTCTGCCTGACTGTCCTCACGGGGAAAAACACCCAGTGTGTTTCAACTTATGCCTGCCATCTCTTTACACCCTGCACCAGTAGAAAGATCCCAGCTCCCCGTCCTTGAGGATGTCCCCACAGGCACTGGGGGCTGCTTTTGGGTCCTCTTGAAGCCATCTCTGCTCCAGGCTGAGCAAGCCCAGCTCTCCCAGCCTCTCCTCACAGGGCAGATGCTCCAGCCCTCACCATTTTGGTGGCCTCAACTGAACTCCTTCCCATTTATCAAATTCTCTATAGTTTTGGGCTCCCAACATCAGATTCAGCAAACCAGATGTGGTTTAACAAGTACTGAGTAGAGGGGGATAAGGAGCCCCTACAATCTGTATCTCTGTCCCTGTTCATACAGCCCAGGCTGCCATTGGCCACCTTTGCGCCACTGGCCTTGTCCCACTTGCTGGCCACCAGGACCCCCAGGGCCTTTCCTGCAGAGGAACAACTGCAACAGCTCTCCCCTTGCAAACTCCCTGAAAGCAGCAGATGGCAAATGACAGCATTTGTCCTAGCACTGGTTTCTGAGAGTTAGCATTCAATTATTTAAAAATGCAAATAAATTAAAAAAAAATATGGTAACTATTTGGACTCAAAGCCTTGGAGACTTCTCTAGTGACTGACATCAACCTGACTATTGCACGATACACCTCCACTTCTGATTAAGTGACTGACTTCACTGAAAAATCAGTTTGGATTATCTAAAAGGCGCAAAATATATGCAGAAAAGGAGACAAATGTAATAACAGTGCACTGGTATGTAGCTGCCTACATCCTGAATTTCCCTTACTGGGGCAAAAATTCCTTCGTTCATCGTTGCTATTAAGATGGTCAGTAAACTTCCCTTCCAACTAAAGTAAACTAATTCCCTTGAAAAAATACATACCAAGAACATTAGCCGTACACTGGAGAATTCCTGAGACATCTTCAGCTTCTTCATTGCCAGAGCAGTCTGTATAGGAGCATCTGTTTGATATATTGTGAAAGTTCTTCTCCGCATCCCTGTAACTACAGTAAAAAAAATTAAGAAAAGTTATAGCATCTCCTTATGCAAATGCAAGGTCAACAAATGCCTTTCAGAAGTGTTGGTAAAGGATGCCTTTAGCCTCCCTTGGCTCCTCCCTCTTCTCCCCTCCATCACCCCCTTTCCACTCGTGCCTTATCACACACAGACGACACTGCATTCATTAGTAGCCTGGGTATCTCAAGTGTTACACTAGAATCCAGAATATTATCTGTAAAGAGAATGAAGCCATAAGAAAAAAACAGTACCAAAGGGATGAGGGAAGGGTATCAGACATATCTGTCTTATACGTCATTCCCACTGGGGTGTTGTCTATAAGAACATTGTGCAGTAAACTCCAAGCAAGATGTTTATGAGGCAATGGTAAGTATCTAATGAGAATAATAGACCTTCCACATCACATTACATTAGCACTGCAAGTATAAAGCCTAGCTCGCTCTGTGGATTACCTTCTGAAAAGATCCCAGCAGAAAGAAGGATGTCAAGCTGCAACTCACTATGTTACCAAGAATAAAGTTTGTGCTACAGCCTGCTAAAGGAAAACTAAAAAGAATCCCACCACTGAAGAAAGACACAGAGCTACGCTCTGACCAGCAAGAAAGCAGCTACCACTTAAATTATTCTATTTGATTTAGCTATTCTGGTTTGTTTGTCATTAATTCAACAGAAACAGAACAGAAGCTCAAACTATGTTTAAAACAAAGCTTTATGCAGGTGATAATGACAACAGAAGAGAGAATTACAAGTGAAGAAAATATTGCAGCAGAGTGATAATGCACTTGGCAAAATATACAATTGATTTAGCTCAATGCACAGATAAAAGCTTTTCTAATTAGTATTTTATTAACAGTTTTGTTATGCTTTCACACTTTTTTCTAGTTTATAAATCATGAAGAGCAGTTTTAAGGATTGGACTCTTCGTCTGGTTAATGCCTGCAAAATCTCAGCACTTGGGTTGCCAGCACCTGCAGAAAAGGACTAGAAAGGATCAGAGCTGCCCATCCGGTCACCCCTCAACAGGGAAACTGGTTCTCCACGTGCAGTAAAGCATATTGCGAAGAGTGGCCTCACCTTAGACAAGGAAAACTCGCTGGCCAGGTCTGCTGACATGCTCTGCAGTGAGCTGCATGGTCTGTACTGCTTCCCAGGTGTCCAGCAATGCCTGGCCATGGGCCTGGCAGGAGGCCACATCCTGACCCAGTGGCCAAGCTCACCCAGAACCCAACCCCACTGCCACGGGGGGGAAGCAGGTTGTCCATGGGGGACCGTGGTGATGCAGATATCCACACTGCAGCCTCTGGAGGATGCCATGCTGGAGCAGGGGGATGTGCCCTGAAGGAAGCTGCAGCCCATGGACAGCCCACAAAGAGCAGGGGACAAGCGTGAGGAGGAAGGAGCAGCAGAAAGGAGCTGTTATGGAATGACCACAACCTCCATCCCCATCCCCCTGTGCCGCTCGAGGCGGGAGGAGGTAGAGGAGTCGGGAGTGCCTTCATCTCGACCCACAAGCTTTGTTCATCTTATTTTCCCCCCTGTCCTGCTGAGGAGGGGAAGCAAGAGAGCGGATCGGCTGGGTGGGGGTCTGGCAGCTGGCCAAGGTCAACGCTTCACAACACGTACCAAAAGTAAAAGATCACAGGGCAGGACAAATATAGGACATCTGCTAGAGACAGATGCTGCTTTAACAAACTCACACTGATGTTCAAAAAAATGAGTCAGTGTATCGTAAGTCACAGGAATTACAGGTTTTCAGAGTGTCCCGCTTTTAAACTTTGTCCATTAAAAAAAGCACATCTAAGCCACATGTGGCCATAAATAAAAAGCCACATGGTTACTGCATACATGCTTTTCTCAAGGCACTGTCTCATTCTCTGAAGTCTCCTAACGTGAGACTTCAAGCAATCTTTTCAGCAACTGAAAAAATTAGCAGCCAGAAGGCTTCTCCCCCCTGCCTGCCCTGCAGTGGACATCACGACTACCTGCCGAGATTGGCTCCCTGGCTGCCCTCAGGTGCCAGCCAGACATCACCCACCAAGCTAGGGCTCCCTGTGAATCTTAACCAAACATTGACAAATAGGCAAGGACAATTCCCTCCAGGTTCAAAACTATGTCATAGATTCTAAAAAGACCCTCAGTGCAGCTTGAAAAAAACCTCATTGCATCTGTGTAATTAAATGCAGAGGGCAGAATTCTTTGTTTGTCATATGGCACACCCATTTAATGGCTATAGACATGCAGCCACTGTATTCTGACTCTCTTAGGAAAAGTTATCCGTGACAATAGATTACTTGCAGAGGAAAGGAAAACACGTGTGCAAGTAAGGAAAAGTTTGAAGAGATTATTTTTATCAATGGAAGAATGCCCTAGGTTTTCATGATGACACCTGCTATTACTTTCTTTTTGCTTTTCAGTCATCTATTAATCTTCTCAATGAACTCTTAGGAGGTGGCTTCCAGTCCTGCTTCTGCAAAAACCTGCAAGTATTTAACAGGCACTGATGCAGGATTTTGCAAGATTTGGACCTCAGGTCATAGCATAAATAATTTTTCATAGAATCATAGAATAGTTTAGGTTGGAAAAGACCTTGAAGATCATCAAGTCCGACTGTTACCCTAACCCTGCCATCCCACCACTAAACCATGTACCTAAGCACCTCATCTCCCCATCTTTTAAATTTACAGCATTCTCAGCTAGCACTGTGAAAAGCAAATTGGAATAGATCTTCAGATTCCCTGTTCTCCTTATTTAGGAAACATCACTGTTAAGGGAGCAGTCATGCTCTGATGGGATGGCATGGAAGCAGAACTGGACAGCAGTTTATCATTAACGTGCATAGAATGTACAGAGAGAGAAAAATTAAAAACCTTGTCAGACAAGGCTGTGACTTGGGAAGCACAGAGGAAAACACTACCACTCACTTTTTATTACTGCACACTAACACTTACCCAATAACTTGATGCTCAAAATACTGCAGCGTCCTTTGAAGAGTTTGCCGAATGGTCTGAGGCTATGGAAGAATAATAAAAGAAATTGTAGCATTAGGGAAGCACAGTACAGTTTAATCAACATTATCTTTTGACACACTGCTTTTCTCCAGTCTTAGTCCTCCTCATCTTCTACCTGCTAGGTGCCCATCATAGCAATGGATGTGAAATATTATCTGTTCCTTACATCTTATTTCACCATTTAAATAGGAAGGGATTTTACAGTGTGCCATAATTAATACCACTTACAAGACCAGTTGTGCATAACAAAGGAGCCACTTCACTACTAGCTCTCAAATACTATCACCCACCAATTATCTCATTATTTTAAAATAATTAATTTATAATAGTTGCAAGAAAATGCTATTTTATGACGAAAGTATCACTGTGAAAAGGCATTGGGTTTTTAAACTTTGTATGTTCCCTAGAGCATTCTGTACTAAAGAATATCATAAAGACACTATTTATTTTGGCTTACTTTCCTGACAGGCTATAACTCTCCAGTCAACTTTTAAATTACCAGGGAACTCAAGTTAATCAAAAGGAAATCATGCATGCTTCAAGCATTTCTATGCTATTTCATTTTAATAGGTGTTCACCAGACTGCATATGTGTGTATACATGTTTATTTGCATTATTACTACTACTACCGTGTTCCCCAAAATATATATGTACATATGTATGTTTATTTTCCTTACTACTGCTACTACTGCTGCTGCTGCTGCTATTCCTATCATTTTGAATTACTTCATGAGACATCTTCAGGTAAATAAAGCAAATGTAAAGTCCAAGTCATTCTCTTTGGAATTTTCCAAGTCACTTATGGCAAAACGTCATTCTTCCAAAATAATTGCTTTGTACCAAACCTGAGGTTTTTCACCCATCCATTTTGTTCCAGTGCCAGAGGTCAGACACAGGTACCCAATTTGGATTTGTAAGTCTTCCGTCTGTATCAGAGGCACAGAGAGATATTTTGATCTAACTCGCAGCAGCAGCCACTCAAACTTTCAAGATACTTGGTGTTTCCCTACCTTTTGGAAAAGACATCTGATTGTTTTGGAAAGTAATATTTGAAATGCCCCTTAATTAGAGGAATTTCATTCTAAACCCACCATCATCTTTGAAAGTCTCAGATTTTGCTTTGTGCTGTACAGATTCAGCAGTTCAAGAGCTGAGCTTTCTTCCTACTATTGCCCATGAGTTTGCAGGAGGAGGTAACCGTTCTGATGACAGGAGGAATGAAAAAGCATATGCCAGGCTGCACTAGGTCTGTGCAATTGTAAAAATTTCTTTTTAATAGCAAACTACAAGAACGTGTCTACCCCTTTGAATTCGAACGTGTAGAAATGCATGCATTTAACAAAAATAAGCTCAAAATAGATGTAAACCTTGAAAGAGGTTTTTTTTTTTTGTTAATTCTGTATCAGATAATTACTTCTGTTCTCTATGGGAGCTAAGTTTCCTGTGCTAAAAGGCATTAAAAGTTGCATGTTCTCTCACAAAACACAATGGAAGCACCATATGAGTGATACCATCACCTATCAAAAAAGCATCCCCTTCTCAGTGGTACAGCAAGTGTTGAAGTCCTTAGGCCTGATGGGCTACAAATATGTTTCATGGCCTGTTCTCACAGAGATTCAGAAGTTTTCCTGTGCTCAGCAGGCACATATCCTTCACATATAGAAAAGTTGTCTCTCCCCTCTCAGGCAAGGAGGCAAAGCGAGATGGCTTTAAGCAGAGAAGTCCAGACTGCTGCCACCTCCCATCTCCACAGAGCATTTCCCTGTGCCCCACTCCCTGCACACAGAACATCAGGACTCCACCAGCGACTCCTCTGACATGAAATAGGGAATGTTACAAAAGTCTGACTATTAAATTAAACTTCCCTTCTTGTTCTCCCAAAGTGCGTTCACAACAAGTGTATGGGAGGCAGCAATGCCTGGCCCTGCAGCAGAGAGGAATGGCAATAGCTTTTTGTCTTCTCAGGAAGTTTTGCAGCTTATGACTCCTGAGCAAGCCTCCACGGGCTGTCTTTGCCTTTCTCATGCCCAACACACAGATCTTGCACTCCTTACCCAGGGAAAAGTCCTTTTGAATACCTGAAGATTTGACCATACAAGCAACCTCCAAGTCCTGAGCTCATTTCATCAATAGACCTCCCTTCCCCCGCCATGCTAGATGAAAAAGAAAAGGCCCACATACTGTTAACTCTCTCTTCTGAAAGCTAAATCATCTGCCTAGGTGCTGTCAGACAGTTTTACACAGTCCCATGAACTCATCCCTGTCTTCACTGGCATCTCCTATCAAATCTTGGAAATCAAGTATAGACAAGAAATAGGATTTACGACTGAAACACTGGTCATAAACAGAGCTGTATGTAATGTGTCCATAGCCAGTGTGAAAACTGGCCTGAGAAGTCACAAAATATTTCTTCATTTCTGATGAGAATTACTATGGCATGTCACTGCGCATGGTTAAAAAGCTGCTGTGCTCCCCTTCTCCATTTGCTGTATTTCGTCACTGAATGTCATTTTGCTATAGATTAATTCCATAACTATGGCCATGACTAAATAAAATGGAGAGAAGTTACACGACACCCCCTTACAGCTGCCTACACGGGTAGTGTGGTGTACCACTTCTTCCACTGCTGACTAGGCATCGCCTATGAGAGAGAGAGTGGGCAGGAAAACATTTCCACCTCTTTTCTGCATCCAATGGCAAGACTGGATGGGGGCAAAAGAGCTAAAACTTCCTCTAGTAGCCTCTCCAAGAAACATAGCTTCTGCCATTTGGGGAGAGAAAAGACAACCTATAACAACGCACCTCCTCTACCACAACATATGTCTATGCCATGCAGGCATCCAGTGGCACTTATTTGCTGGAGTTTTTAAGGCTTCTTGACCACTTAAAATGAAAGATTTACTACAAAGGTAAAGTAGCAACTATTCCCTAAAATAGTACATTTTAAAAATTCGGTTTTATTATAATGTTTTACTAACAGTTGGTATGCATTACAAAAGGAATAGTGACATCAGTTCACATTTCTAAGGGCAACTCAAATTAAGACATGCCAGTATTGCTATTGTTAACTGTACGTTAATCCAAGAATTTCATACGAGATCGTATCCAAGCTCCATCTTGAATGATGAAATATAAGGTAGAAGGGACCACTGAAGGTATTTAGACTGATCTCTTGCACGGCAGAGGTCACAGGACTTTCCTGAATTAATTCTGAATCCAGACATCAGGCCATGGCTAAGTCTAATGTGTCAAAGAATCATAAAAAATCAGAATCACAGAATCATGTTGTAATTTGAGTTACCAGTTGCTCAGGTCTTTCTCCAGATGATTTCTGAGTGTCTCCAAGGATGGTGATCCCACAACCTCTCTGGGCAACATGTGCCAGTGTTTGAACACCCTCATGACCCTCTTTTTTTTTTTTTTAAATACTGATTTGAAGCTTCCCATCTTCCAGCTTTCTTGCCTCTCTTCCTTCTGCTGTGCATCCTTGTGAAGAGTCTGGCTCCATCTTCTCTACACAGCCTGATCAGGTAGCTGTAGACTGCAACAAGATACCCCCAAAGCTGTCTTTTCTTAAAAGCTGAACAGAGGCAGCTCCCCCAGCTTCTCCTCACATGTCGTGGGCTCCATCTCTTGACCATCCTTGTAGTCCTCTGTTGGCCCCAGTATCAATCCCTGAGGGATATGCAGAGGTAACTGGTTGCTAATTCTTTGTGACTTTGTGACTCTGATGGCCACCTTTTGAGCCCTAAGGGCCAGACACTATTCCACCCACCTTATCATCCACTTAGGCAGTCTATATCTCGCCAATTTGGCTCTAATGACACTATGAGAGACCATGCCAAAGATTTTCCTAAAGTCAAGTTAGACAACATCCCTCCATCCATTGAGACGGTCATCTCATTACAGAAGTCAATCAGGTTGGTCAGGCACAACTCATCCTTGGTAAAGGGCATAAAAGTACGTAAAGGGAATAAAGGGGTAAAATTTGTCCTGGCTGTTCCCTATCACCATCTGTGTTGCCCTTTTTTGTGCTAAGAAAAGGCTTTCAAAAGGATTTGATCCGTAACATTCCCAAGGACTGAGGTCAGACTGATCACTGTAGTTCCCTGGATTCTCCTTGTCCTTCTTGATGTTGGGTCTGATGTTTGCCTTTTTCTAGTCATCAAGTACCTCCCCGATTGTCGTGACTGGGAGGCTTTCCTATCTCCATTCCTGCATGCTCAGGTGCATGCAGGAATATCCCTCAGGGCATCCTATCCCTGCTTCCAACTTCTGTAGATATCTTTTTTTGCATTTGAGCTCTGTGCTGAGGTCCTTGTTCATCCACACTATCATTCTTCCATGCTTGCTTGACTTTTCTGCACATCATAACGAACTGTTCTTGTGCTTTGAGGAAGGTCTCAAAGAGTCCATGAAAGATCAACCAGCTTCTTGTGCCCCTTTACCCTACAGGCTAGTTGCCCATTGGATCCTGCCAAAATCTGTGAAGAAGCCAAAATCTGCTCTCCTGAAGCGTGAGGTTGTAATTCCACTTCCTTGTCTTTCCCACTTCTCTCAGTTTTGAACTCCAGCATCTCATAATCACTGCAGCCAGGGCTGCCCTCAGCTTTTATACCTTCAACCAGTTCCTCCTTGTTTGTGAGCAAAAGTTCCAGCACAGTATCCCCCCTTCTCAGCTCATTGATCCCCTGCACTAAGAAACCGTCTTCAGCACACTTCAAAAATCTCCTGCATTGCTTGTGCTCAAACCTATTACCCTTCTAGTGGATTCTGGGTTGGGTGAAGTCCCCCATGAGCACCAGAGCCTGCCATTCTGAGGATTCCTCCAGCTGCCTAAAGGCTTCCTCTGCTTTCACTTCTTGACCAACCAGTGTGTAGCAGATGTACCACCACCCCACCCCTGCTCATCGGTCCCCTGCTCCTGACCCCCACGCTCCGGGCCAGCTTGCTCTGCCCAAAGGGAACTGCCCACACACCGCTGCCACCTCTGCGCAGAGCGCAGCTCCCACTCCTCACCGCCCCAGCTCGCCCTTCCCGAAGAGCCTGTGTCCACCTCCCGCAGCACTCCCACCCTGAGAGCCATTCCACACAAGGGCGTGTGCAATCCCACGCAAGGTCCAAGCTCAGTGGCAGCATCTCTTTGCTCCCCATCCTGCCTGCATTTAGGCACAGGCACTTGGGACGGGCTCCCAGCAGTCCTGCTTTTGTGAGGTGAGCGTAAGTGCCTCTTCCATCTTGTTGTTCCCCTGATACTTCTTCACTGCTCCTCCTTCTCTGCAGAGAATGAAACCCCTTCCCCAACAACCATAGCTCAAAGCCCTCCTCACACAGTTGTGAAGTCTGTTAGCGAAGACACCCTCACCTCACTTTGTCAGACAGATCCCATTCTTGCTCAGCACTCCTTGCTCCTCAGAGAGTGCCCCATGCCCAAGGAGACCAAAGGCCTGCCAGCAACACCAGCCACACAGCCAGGGACTGCCTTAATAGACGTGTCCACTCCAACCAGAGCCTTTCCCCCTCACCATCAGGATCAAGGAGACACCAACGGGGCAGCCACAGCCCTTGCCCTGGCACTCAAAGCCACGTCGTCACTCCTGACCTCGGGGCCTCCCCTGGCCGTATCACTGGCACCCACATGGAGGAGCAGCAGGGGTCACAGTCCAGGAGACAGACAAGCTTTGGCAGCTTCTCTGCAACACTATGTCTGAGCTCCTGGCAAGCAGTAAACCTCCTGAGGCAGCAAGGCAGACTGGCAGATGAGTGCCTCTGCCCCCTCAGGAGAGAGCTTCTGATGCCTACCACCCTCCTCTTCTTGAGGGCTGAGGCTCAGCTGGCCCTGATGCCTCATCCCAAGGGAGGTCATCTCTCCCACCTCTTCCCAGGGTACTGTCCCAGTTCTGTTACTGCTGAACGACAGGGGGAAGAGGGGCCTTAGATGTGTTGTTGGAAGTAACAAACCTTCGGCCTCCTCCATATCAGGAGTTTCCACCCTTGACCCTCAAGGGTTATCTCTATTTTTCCCTCCTTCCTTGCAACATGGGGCTCCGGTTCTTGGTTCTGCAGGGCCTCTGGAAAGACCCATCCATCCTCCGTGATGCGTACAACCTGCTCACTCTCTCCTATAACTCTTCCACCTGGCACCTCAGTGCTGCAACCAAAGCCCACCGCCGCTGCAACCAAAGCCCGCCGCCGCTGCACAGCCGCCAGCAGCGATCCTGAGCGTGGCACTCCTGCCATGACAATGGCTGAGACTCCACCAGACGACGCCGTTTGCAGGATGCACTTGTACAGAAATCTGCCCGTCTCGCTGGATCTCACCCGGCCCTCCAGTAGTGCAAAACTGCCTCCAGACCTGAAGTTAGAGGAGCAATAGCTCCTCAAAGATGCTTTTAAGACTAACTGGAAAAAATCCTTATGAAGATATTTGTCTAAACAATTTTGAATTTTTTTAGGGTTTTTTTTTAACTCAGACAACATCCTTTGAAAAAGAATTCCAGTTTAAACAGACATTGTATGAAAATTTTTTTTGTCTTTTTTTAATTTAATTTCCCCTTCTTTTAACTTCATTGCCTCCAGTTTTGGAGACAAAGGGGACAGGACTTACACTTTAATTGCATCCCTTGTTATAAATGTCTTTCCTAAGGCAATCAAACGTAAGCTTTCCAATCTCTTCTCAGAGGACAGAAACTTTAGCCTATTCCCTAGCCATCTTCAGAAATGTCTTTCATTTGATTGCAACACCTTTGGAAATAAACAGTAGGGCTCATCTGCCCAACTGCAGGCACCCAAAGTAATTCATTTCATCTTACGGTTGGCATCCAATACATGCCTGAGGACTCAGTCTTTAGAAATACCCATTTCTTTGTTTCGTCTAGAAAAGATGTTGAGTGATTGCTTTAGACTTAGACATCTTTTAACTGTTTAAGTAAGGACAGACAAACTCCACCCTGAGGTAACGGAACGGCACACAGTATCCCAGATGACTCAGTCTACATTTACATAAATGCGGTTTCAAATTCGCCATCCCATTCCCTTTGCATCCTAAGATACCCAGACAGAATTCGAGAAGAAAGGGACTGTACGGAACAGGGAGGTCTGAGCCAAGGGAGCAGCCAAGTACACAGGCAGTTTCTCCTTAACCCTAACAAGACTTCAAAGATTTTTCCTGGTAAAAGCTAAGTGGCTCCTAGCTGAGCCTCAGAAGCGATTCACAGCAGCCATGCTCTTAAAAACTTGAGTGCTTAAAACTTTAAACATGAAAGTTGAAGCACTGAAGAGCATAATAGGCTCAGCTAGAAACCACTTTGCTTCTATCAGAATTTCTTCGAGGAAGTCCATCAGGTCAGGGGGCTCCTCCAGACTCCTGTGCCCTGCAAAGTCCTTCCTAGAGGAATCTGCGCCTCTGCATACAGGAGAGCCAAGCCACCACAGACCTCAGCCAAATAAGCACTTTGATGTTGGAAGGTTCACATGCCTGAAATTTATAGTGTTCAATCACTAATTCAGCAGATGTGTGAGACTTTAATTGTCAGCTTCACTGCTGGTGATAGTTCATTAATGAAAAATACTTCGTTTCATATTTCAGAACCAATTTTAGTCAAGTTTTTGTGCATAGGTGATTAGAGATCTCTAAGCACATGAGTAGGTGTGCACCTGGCCCATTCAGAAGGAAAGAAATGGCAAAATAATAATTTTTGCATCCAGTCTGTTTTTTTTTTAGTATTTACCCCATGATCAGGAAAGCAGTGGAAAACAGTTCTTTCCCTGTCCTTCTGGTCACCAAAATATTGATGTTACAGAAGCCATAAACAAAGAATCAAGGTTCCAGCTGAGGACAAACATTTATCAACAATCCCAAATGCCAGGAGTGGGGAGATAAGCATTGAAATTGCTGCAACTAGGGAAAAGCAGAACTGACAAAGAAAAGGAAGGCTCCTCTGGCATCCTGCAATTTTCTGGTAATGCAGGAAGGAGGAAGGCTCGCTTGCATGTCCTTGTGGGTCCTGCACAGTCCGGATCCCTCCCTGTCCCCTTCCCAGTAGCTGAAGAATGGAATGAAAAGGCACAGACAGAAATCAGAAATGGAGAAGGATCCCAACATAAGCGACCATTTGAAAATTTAAAAAAAAAAAAAAAAATTCACCTTTGGGAGTTTAACAGTGCTTTTCATAATATAGTCAGGAAAAAAAATATTTTTACTCTCTATCTTCTGAACCTTCAGGGTGCACTCATTTTTTTCTCTATAACTGTACAAGCCAAAAATGCATTTTTTTCTTCATGAAAACCAGCCTCCTGATTCCATAGGTTTGTGCTTTAGATCAAAGCACCAACTGCTTGCAGATCTCCATGACAAGCACCAGATTTGGTATCAAGAGGGGAATCATAGAATTATGGAATCATAGAATCGTTTCAGTTGGAAAAGAACTTCAAGATTATCAAGTCCAACTGTTAGCATAACACTGCCAAGTCCACCACTAAACCATGTCCCTAACCACCACATCTACATGATGCAGAATCCTCAGGAGGGGACAGTTTGGGGATCCAGAGTGGGATGACTGACAGCTGGAGGAAAAATGAGCTGCCCTACAACAGCCCACGATGGTCCACATGTGGATCAGAACTCAATACCATCTGACACCTAAACCTGAGACCAGTCTGCTCTTCAGTTCATGCAAACTGGGGTACTCTTCACAGAGAAACACTTGTGCCCATCAGAGAAAATGCCTTAATTTAATAAATAACATTGAGACTAAGAATTTTATCCCATACTATTTCACGGCAATAACAACGGAAACACTCTGAAGAAATAAAACAGAGCTAAATAATAATTAGAAATTATAACTCCTGCATCCCCATCTGCCTTTCAGCTAGAAGAATCACAGACATTACGCATGGAAATTGCCTGTTAGATCATCTAGTCTAACTCCTTGACAGTGAAGGATAAATATCTCAGGGTGCTATCCATTGTAATACCGGCTGGGATCACTTTGTTCCTCTTTGAGTTTCAGCCATGGCTGGAACGGACAGAAGATCTGTTCTGTGCTGCAGAAAGAATGCATTCGATAGGTGAGAATATAATAGATGATCTACCACTAATGCTACCTGTTCATCTTTAAATGCAATTCACATCTACTACACAAAAGCATCGGTGCTGCTCTAGCAGGCAGATAGGAAATTAAAGGCTTTACATGTCAGTCCTTCTCAAGGATTTCTTCTGCTAGGATAGAACAAACCAAATTTCCTCAGTATAACTGGACCTAATTTCATATGCAGAGCTGCAAATATGCTTATCCCTTTGAGACCTATAGAAAAACCACAGACTTTTCCGTCTTCATTTTGAAACTTAGCTTGAGAGTTACCAAGCACGCAAACGTATCTAGAAAGAATTTGGATATGAGATGGAACAATTTCTTTTACTCAAAGCGCTTGATAACAGCCTTTAACACTAGTGCAAGAGGCAGAAGGAATGAGAGGGCTTTTCTTTCTGTTAACGTTATAAGTTTCACCAGGAGGACGCTGGACCATGCGAAGCAGTAACTGCCCCTGCTCAAGCAGTTGCAAGTGAAGGACATTCACCCTCATTTCGATGTAGCCATGACTGCACGCTGCTACTTAAGGGGATATATTGATGATCACAGCGTTCCCTTCTACTTCACAACGTCTTTCTCTATTATTTGCACCTGGGCACTTTGGCCAGGGGAGAGGCAGAGAAGTGCAAAACAATGGAGATCAATTTTGTGGGGTTAACACGGGTGCTGCTACACTCGGGTTTGCCGGCTGGCGGCTGAGACCTGCCGGCGGGCAGGCCTGACCCCAGCAGGGACACGCTCGCTGCGTCCAGTCAGCAAAGACGCCTGCCAGGTATCAATGTCTCCGAGGCGTGTTTTTTTCTAAGCACTGTGGGGAAGTTGAGATTTCAGCCTGGAACTATACAAACATTAAGAAAGCAACTATTACTATGATTGGTCTAAGCACTAGATGTCAAATATTCAGACTCACCCTAAATAAAATTTCACCAAGGTCAATACAATGCTGCAGGCCCTCCGGTGCAGCTAAGCTGATTTTTTTTTAGTATTTTATTTGCTGAGGCTGAAGTTCCCTTGCATGAAATGTTAAACTACCGAACAAGGCAAACAAACAAAACCCACCGCAATGCTCATATCGATGACGTTTTCCAGAATGTTCCTGTTTAAGTCACCACAGCTCTGCTACGAAATAGCAGATTGACTGGCTACAGATGGCTCATATGACCCTGTGTATGGCTTTTCTCTCTGTTAAGTTGAAAGACACTGGGCAAAAGTCTGATTTTGTCATACGTTAAAAAAAAAAAATCCTGTTTGCCTGCTGGAATTAGAAATTAGGACTTTCTCATGGGATGTGCCTTTCTTTCTTCACCGTTTCCATGTTTGTCTTTTCCTTCACACGCTCATTCCTGAGAAGGATGTTACTCACATCAAGCTCACCCAGCCTGGGCTATTAAGTGAATAAGCTCATCACACTGCTGATATGATTATCATTTGGCATTACCTTACTTAATTCAGAAAGATAAGCAGAAGTTATTCCTACGACAGTAGAGCTCAGATATACCTGATGGGTTAGCGCGAGTCATAAGCAGCTCAGAATACTTGTGTAAAATTTTTTCAAAATCTCATGTAAAAATCAATTTGTTACCTCTCCTGCTAGTGGCAACAACTTGTTATTTCTACTAAAAAGAGTAGCTATTCCTTGAGAGTAAGTGGTAGTGGTTTATGATGGAGCCAGATTCAACTTGAGCCACTATATTGCAACTTTGCCACCAAAACCCCATCTGCGCTCACTGGAGGATTCACTTGCAATTAAGCAACTTGGAGTTACAGCAGTTCTGTGACATAAGTAATAGCTTACACACTAAGCTAAACGGCTGTCTTCAGGCTCACTTTTCTCCCACTGTCAGGAAAAAGGCTGTATTCAAAAAGACAACTCTTAAATTTGGCAGCAGCCAGTAGCAGCTTCCTAACTTAAACAGGAAAAAAAATGTTCTTACTTTAATGTGTCTTCAACTGGGCTTTTAACAAATAGCAGGAGTAATTCTGAATTAACAGAAAAGCCTATCAGAAGCGATTTTCACTTACTAACGTTTATAGTTCGAGAGTTGCATTACATAGACCACTCAGAAAATAAAATCAAACGGAAATGTCAGTTTAATGCTGTGTCATGCTGTAATTCTCTTTCCAGAAGGATCAGGAGAGCGCTTCAGGGTACACGGTCTCCTCTTGAGTCCATGCCCAGTCACTCTCAGCTCCTTTTGGGTAGTCCATGCCCCTCAGATGGGAGCAGAGTATTTGACTTTCCAAATCAGTGACAAAATTTTTT